ATGGAAACAGACGCAGTCACCAACTGACCAGGCTGCAAAGACACTGTCCCCAGGTGCCAAGGCACAGCCTAGGGCAGCCTGTTCCCACGTGGGATCTGTGACAAGGACCAAAGGGCCAGAGTGCAGGCAGGGGGACTTGTCAGCCCCCCAGCCTACCCTTCGAAGTCCCCGGTTGAGGATTCCCAGACACCTGGACACCCCCAGGCACTAAGGGCCCACCCTGAGCCCACAGAATACTGTGACCTGCCTTGTCGGATTCCCCCAGTAACCCCAACCCGATGCCACCGGCCCTGCCAGCTTCCTGGGGACCCTGGCTGGTGAGTTTCACCCCGGAGGTGGCTGTGGCATTTTGGTGGCCAGGGCCACCGCCTTCCCGAGTCCTTTTCCGTTGCTCTGTAGCCCAATCTCGTTCATCCATAACCCTCAGGAGCGGGTGGCAGGGCTGGGGGCGACAGGGGCTCTCTCCAGGCAGGGGCGGGGGCGGGGCCGGGGGCTCCCCTAACTGCAGAGGCTAGCCTTACACACCCAGCAACACATGTCCCCCTTTATGGACAGGGCTTTCTCTCCTTGCTTAAAGGCAACTGTGAAAAGAGCAGGGCTGATTCTAGCTGCCTAGCCGTCTCCTGGCAACAGGCCTGGCAGGAGGTCTTTCTTTCTCCACCCCCCCACCTCCCTTCTCTCCTCCACCCCCCACCCCTTTCTTTCCCCCCTGTGTCTTGTGTTGTGTATCATTAAAACTTCCCTCCCAGCCACTTCGCAGCCAACAACCAGGCCCTTCTGGGGCCAGTTCCCTTGGGGCAGCTCAGCCAGCCGGGCCCTGGGGGTGGGGGACCTGAGGGGTCAAGCCCCCAGAGGAGAGCCTTTGTGTTCTGGAACCAAGGCTTAAACTCAATTTGGCAACCTTCGGCATGTTCACGAGAGCAGCCACTAGAACTGCCTCCACCCAGGCACCTCTCCCTTCTCTCCTCTCCTCCCTCCTTCCCTCCCAGGGCTCCGTCTCTCCTGTTAGTGCCTTAAGCCTGCCAATAGGGCCCCTGGGCACTGCCCAGCCCTGCTAGAGCCTCACCGGGCTGGACACCAACAACCCCTCACCTAGAAGGACAGTCCCAGCCACAGGCCTGCAGCCAGCGCTGGCCAGTGTCCTAGTCCGCCCTGAAAGCGGCAGGAACGCAAACGGTGGTGGTCGCGGGAATCATGGGGAAGGGGACCATCCAGTCCATGATGTCAGGACCAGAAGGACTCCTCACTTGGCCACTGTAGTCTAGAGAGACACCGGGACCCAGAGAGGGTAAGTGCCTTGCCAAGGACACACAGCCCACTGGGGAAGGCTGAGGCCGCGGCCCTGGTTTCTGGTCTCCCTCTTCTGTAGCTCTTTACACCCCTTACGGGAGGGAAACGGGCGGCTCTCTGAGGCCAACGCACCTTCTGGGGCTTGATCTGCTTCCTCAAGTCCTTCTGGCTCCCCCATACAGAGAGCCTCTGTCAGGCCTGGACTGGAGGCTCGGCTTCCCCCTCCACCCCTCCCCCGACGGGAGTATCTGGGTCACCAAGGCCTGGTGCCGGGCCACCCCGTCATCCAACACATTCGTAAGGCTGGACGGCCGGCCCCAAGGCTCCTATCTGATACCTCAAGGCAGGGATGATGCTGGGGTGGTTCTCAGCTCACAGCAGGGGTAGCTGCCACTGAGGACTCCAGTGCCCTCCCATTCTGCCAGCTTCTGGAGCTAGGTCACCCCCCGGGGCCCTGGCCAATCACCAGGTGCCGGCCCCTAAGGTGCCCTGACCACACAGTGGGACTTGCAGGGCACCCTGAGTGCAAGCGCTCAGCTCCGTTGTCCCCACGATCCAGTGTTTTCCAGAATCCAGGCATTTCCATGCCGCCTTCACGTCACGGGTGTTCTGCTATTACCACTTTTCTTTAAATTCATTTGCTTTCCTTTTAATAACTTCAATTACAGAGGAAACTTTAGATCACTATGATTTTCAACAATTTCTTTCTAACCAGAGGCTACGCCCCTCCAAAGACTGAACGTGTGACCTTCTCTCTTTATTACAAAGGGACCTCAGTAAGCATTGCTTTAGCACCAGACAGACTCTCTCCTCCCTCGACAATAATCAGGAGGAGTGAAGGGAACCGGGATAGGAAATGTGAATAGATGAGATTTCTCACGTGTGACTCCACGTGATTTAACACCACGCTTCATCTCGTGGGGCATCCATGGTCCTCTCCGGCCTCTGAGAAACATTACCAGTCGCCATGAAAATGCTCTTGAAATTCTAGCCTTTGGTCAAACTGTATTTCAGACTTTCTTAAATTCTGGAGCAGAAAAAACAAAAGAAAAAAAGATAAGAGAAAAGAAAGTAAAAGAAAAATATTTTGGTTATGCCACGTTCTCTGATTTGGGTTTCAGAAAATGATTTCTCCTCTTAGCACTACCCTCTTAAATATGTAGAACAAAAGGCAGAGGGGAGACGGTCAAACTCGGGGTAGGTAAGGAGGACGAGCAGAAGGAAGCCTTTCGGACCACGCAAAGCAGGGAAGCTGGGAACATCATCGTGGTCACCACCAGCCTTGAATCAGGAGACGGTCTGGTCAAGATTTTGCCATTTGTTTGGTCACAAGTTAATAATAAGTTTTGGGGAACCAGCATTTGTGGTCAACTGTATGCCCCCAGCTCTTGGGGTAAATTATGCCATTTGACCCTGTGAGCTGTGATATTCGTACATGTACCCATTTGCCAGATAAGGAAACAGGAGCACAGAAGTCTAAATAACTTGCCCTAAGTCACAGCTAAGCAGTAGGGTCAGGGTTGGAAATTGCCCTTGTCTGATCACAGAGCCCATGCATCCCCACAGTATGATTCTGACACCCTCTCCCCCAACCCGAGGCCATCTGGCCAGTGCGGACAGACCCGAGGAGATCCTGGCCCCTCAGATAAAAGGGTGAGTCTGATGCGCAGAGGCCTGAAAACGGTGCGTAGAAAGTAGAACTCAGCTCTCTGTTCACAGGTGAGTCTTCCGCCAGCCCCTCCGAGCAGCCCCAGAAAGTGGTGCATGGATGTGTGGGAGGGGGGAGCCGGAGGAGGCCAGCGACGGTAGGGCCGAGATCACAGGTGGAGGAGGAGAGAGTGTGGAAGGGAGGCAGGGGAGTTGCTGCAGCTTGTTTTTCCTTTTTTAAAAAGTGAAGATATAATTCGCACACCGTGAAATCCACCAGTTTACAGTATACCATTCAGTGGCTTTTGGTATATTCAGTAAGTTGTGCAAACATCACCATTATCTAATTCCAAAACATTTCATCACCTCTAAAAGATGCTCTATACCCATTAGCAGTCAAGCTGCAGTTTCTTAAGGAAAAGGAAAAGGCAACACCAGATGGAACGCTATTCCGGATTAGTTTTAAGCCCCACCTCAACCCTACACACCCTCCCTTTTGTTGTTTCCTTCTTCCCCCAAGCCATCCCCGAGTGAGTCTCCCAGCTCCAGGCTCCAATTGCAACCTCATTCCCAACCAGACTAAACCCCCAAACCAAGAAAAAGAAAACCAACCAGCCCTTAAATTAAAGCAACTCAATTTGTAAGTCAATGAACAACACTTTACCTAACTGCCCTATGCCAGACACTATGGGCAGGAGGATACAGAATTCAGTTAGAAGGACTTTGGGTGCAAGTAACAGCCTGAAGTAGCCTAAACAACAAGGAAAATATGTTATTTCACATAACAAGAATTTCTGAAGCAGGACTCCCCTGGGGTCAGCTAATATGTCAGCAATGGTGTCAGAGATCCAGCTTCTTTCTCTCTTTTTCTTCTTTTCTTCCTCTGCTAGTCAGCCTCATCCTCAGGCAGCTTCCCTCATGGCACAGAATGGCTGCTGCAGCTCCAGACATCACACCCAGACACAATAATGTCCAAAAACAGGAAAAAGGGACATGTCTTAGTATCATTTTAAGAGCCCCAGAAAACTTAGGGCAGAAAAGTTTTTGTACCCTCCAGCAGACCTCCCCTCATGTCTCATTAGCCTAAACCGGGCCCCGTGCCTGCCCTTAAACAAATCCCTGGCAAGGGGAATGGGTGTCCATGATTGGCTTAGATGAATCAGAATTTAACCACTGAGCCAGGCTGGGGAGCCAGAACAAACTGGGGACCCTTGCCAGCCTGGAGCAAGAGGCCACCAGCAGTGTGGGCTACACTACAGCCTAAATAGAAGTCTTTGCCTTTGAGAGGCTCAAGAAAGAGCAGCTGACTGTCACAGAGGAATGGAAGGGGCACTTACCCATCACTTAACATGTCCCAGGTGCCATTTCTGACACTGCAGGAATCACTCCACTGAACAAGCAACAGCCCTTTGAAGCAGGTGTTATTATACCCATTTTGCAGGTGAGGAAACAGGCTCAGAGAGGGTAGGTAATGTGCTCAGTGTCACACAGTTGAGAGGCAGCACTGGGATTCATTGGGGTTGTGGTGGTGCCATGAGATCTGGGCTCTAAGACCACCACTCAGACAGAGGGTCTCTCCAGACAGATATATGAAACTCCATTCAAGCCTTACCTGGAAGCCAAGGCAACTGAGCAGAGGAGGTGGGCTATGCCAGGTGTGGAACAATGCCAGACAGGTGCCCCTGGTCTGCCCAAGGACTCGCCTACACCTGTGCCAGCCACAGCTACCTGTTCCTGGGTACCTGCTGGTGAGGCAGCTCTGACCCCATTGCGAGCTCACTGGATCCACATCCACATGTCCAGGCTCCTTGGACCCAGAGCCAATGGTTGGGCCCATGTGAGTTTCCAGCAATGGCTGCTACTGTCTGCATTGTTTTGTGGGGAAGGTAATTAGCTGGCAGAACTCTGGAGGGTGCAAACCAGGATTTGACCAGAAATCTCTGTGTCATCTCCAAGGATAACAGCAGGCATTAGGCTTGCTCTATCCCATCTCCCTAATGGGCCCCCACAAAAGTCTCCCCACGAAGACGCCGGAGATGAAAAGAATCTTCACAGCTCTTACCTTGGTTTAAAGGAAATATTTATTTGATCTTCTGTTGGAAAACTGTGTCTCCCACAGATGGCAAGGCCTGGACAGTTTTTGGTCATCAGCGCTTACCCTGTGCTCTATAAAAATGTGTTGAATGAATGAGCCATCCCCCCACCCTGTGCACATAGAGCACCTACTGTGCTCCTGGGGTCCCCTTGAGGATGGACCATTCCTCCCCCAGAGCTTGGCCTCAGGCTTTGCCCACAGCAGGCGGAAAGTATGTGTTTGTGGGTGATGGGAAAAACGGAAACACTTTCCTGCCCTGAAGCCCAGGTGAAAGGGGGCCACAGCCTGGCTGAGGTTGGAGACAGAAGAAAGCAGAGATGGTTCCTGGGTTGCATCTGGGGCTCCCCTTCCTGGTTATGTCTCACCCACTGGGGAATGGAAAGAACACTGGGACCAAGAGAAACTACATCAGCCACGCACAGACAGCCACGCAGAGGTCTGGCTCGACTTCCTCAAGGAAAAAGCACTTCCCCGGGCAGGAATGGGCCTTGGGTTAGAGCCCCAAGGCCTCAGGCAGGCCCGTCATGTCTGGGTGTGGGCTCAGGGCTTGGAGGCAAAGGCAGAATAATGAAGGATGGAAAAAGACTGAAGAGTTGGAAGAAACGGAAAGTGGGGGAGGGAAAGAGGGGGCAGAGATGGGGGCTGGCAGCACGAGGCCCACCAAGCCCCAGGTGTCCTGTGTTGTGGTAACTTCCCGACAGGCTGCCAACCCCTGATCTCAGCCCGCTTGGGGCAGTGCAGGTGTCATCTGAGGGGGAAGCAGGTGCCAAAGCCGGAGTAGGGTAGCTAGGGGGGAGTGGCGAATTCTAGGTGCCAAGATGTCAAGATGGGGACCCCAAAGGGCCATAAGGACCTCAGACAATGGTCCCCCATCTGAGGCCTCAGCCGCTGCCTCCCCCCTTACTCCCTCAGCCAGTCATCGGTGGCGTTTATTAGGGGCCTGGGCCAGATCCCGCTCTGGGTGTTGGGCCTTCAGCAGAACTGAGATTTTCGAGTAGGAAAGAGACAACATTAAATGGGCAACTTAACAGACACATTCAATATGGAATATATGAAATACAAGGTCAGTGTTTAGGGCTATGCAGAAAAATAAAGTGGAGTAAGAGGCCCAGAGGAACAAGGTGGGGGAGCAGCTAGGAGGATGGGGCTGAGGGTCTCGCCGAAAAGGAGATTTTGAGGTGGGTCTCAAGTTGGGGTGTCAAACAAGATTTTCCTGAACAAATCCTTCTGGCAGAGGCTCCTGGGCGCCTGAGGAGCTGCTTAGCTGAGGCTGACAGGAGCAGAAAAAGCAACCCAAGACAGCCACTTACTCCTCAGCCCCTAAGAGGAGAAGAAAGAAACCCAGTATTTATTATTCGCCATCCTCAGTCTGGCGTTCTGTCAGCACGGTTCTCATTTAACGCTGACAACTCCCTATGAGATATAAAGTATTGTCTCCACCTCGGATGGCACAGAGGAGGCTCAGAGATAACAGGCAGCTGGCCAGGGGTGCCCCCAGCCCATTTTTCTGTTGTCCCCTCCCTTCTAAAGGACTTTGACCCCAAATCCCTTTCCAAAATGCCCTTGGGGAACTAGAGATGACTAAGACAGGAGGAACTACTGGGACAGGGAAAACCCCTTACCGCCCCACAGGTGGCACCTGTGATCTTGGGGTGCTGGTGGGCCAGGCCAGGAAGGACTCAGTGACATCACCCTGCCGTTTGCAGCCTTCCGTGTCTCGACACAAGGTTGAGGCAGCTGCACGGAACCCGCCTGATGCCCAGGAGTGCAAGCCGGGGCCTCACATCACCCCGCCCGCGCCCGCGTCCTGCATCTCGGGCGTCCTGAGTCTGTGGCGCGGCCCACTCTCCCAGGGGAGCCACCTGGGTGGGGAGGAGAGGGGAGCCTGAAGCCACGCACACCTTATCCCCAGCTAAGCTCGGGGATTGCGAAGTAGATTAAAGGCATTCACTCACGAGGATGCCTACTGAACCGGGATCCCCAAAGATCCGGGCTGCTCACCGACAAAGGCTCCGGTTCCCAGCCCGCGGGGTCGGGGGCGGGGCGGAGCCACCTTCCTCGCCTGCAGACTTCCTGCCTTATTATCAGCACCGCCGCCAGGGGGCGCGCCGGGGCCGGGAGACCGAGAGGCTAGTGGGCTCCGGGTCGCCTTTGTGTGTTCGGTTGGCGTTTGTTGCTCACCTGTGTGCTTACCCAGTGCACGCTTCCGGCATTTCCAGGACGCTGCCTCTACACTGGGCGGTTTAAAGAAATCTCGTTTGATTAATTCCTGCGCCACCACCCACGCTGTGGACCACCTGCCTCCTGGTTGCCCTCTCCGGTTGTCTAGCTTTCTTTCTAGTGGCCTCCAAGGAGAACCTCGCTTGAAACCGTTCTGCGGCTCCTGTAGCTCTTGGGGTAAAGTTAAAAGCCCCTCTCTCGGTCGGAGTCCGTGGAGGGAGCTCCCACGCGCCCCCTTCATGCTGTTCCCCGCGGGAGTCGCGAGGTTGCAGACCTTCCGCACTTGCTGCTTCCCCCGCCCGCAGCAGCTTTGCCCTCTCCCCTCACCCTCCCCAGGCTGGTCTGGGCTCCTGGCTCCTGGGCCCCAGCAGCCTTCGGGCAAGTTTCGAGCAAAAGTGAAGCGCACAGCGCTGGATCGAAGATGTCCTCCTCCTCCCTCCCCGCGATAGACGGGTAGCCCGCTGCGGGCGGGGATAAGGCTGGCTGCCCCGTCCTTTGTCTCGGCGGTGCCTCCGTAGGGGGCCCGGTTGAGCGGCGCTGAATACACAGCGGCCGACTGCTTGCCCCGGGGGAGCGCACGTAAAAGAGAACCTCGGGGCAGCTAGAGAGGTGGAGGTGGGATGGAGATGGGCGGTCACTCGGTCGGTCTGAGGTCCCGGACACTCACACAACACAGAGTGCTTCCCACGTGCCACCCCTCAGCCCCCAGGGCCCTTTCAAGAGGCCACCCTCCCACTCAGGCGGAGGCTTCGGGGTCCAACGCCCGGGAGCCTCCACCTCACCCGCCCTGGCTGGCCTTGGAGTGAATTTAACCCTTTCCCCACCGCGTGCAACCCTTCGTGCGGTTCGAGTGCCCATGAGAGAGGGCGTTTCTGTTCGTGACACTTGGCTCTGGGGTGCCCTCCCCCTCCTGGGCAGGGACCATTCCTGTGTTCCCACTGGCAGCGTTGGGCCGGCAGGAGGAAGGAAATTAAGCCTGTGTTGAAGGAAGGACACCTGGCAGGGGAGGGAAAGGGCTCAGGAATCCCCTCTTCTGGGGAGCTTTCAAATGGGGGGAAACCCCCACACAGTTTCCATTCTCCAGGGCGCCTTGCCCGGCCGCTAGCAGGTTCCCACATCGCCCCGTCCAGTCCGGCCGCTAGCAGGTTCCCACATCGCCCCATCTAGTCCTCTCCTTCTTCACTTCCTCAGTGTGAGGCTAGCAAAAGTCTGGGACTCCACCCTACCACCCACTTGTGTCCCTGTCTCTCTTCCATTCTCTGCCCCATGCTCAGGATCGGGATCTCCGGGTGCTCCCAGGCTGCCTGGAGAAGGCATCAGGATACACGCATCCCTTCAGGGAAAGGCCAGCCTTGCCTACACAGCCCAGGGCCACTGGCCGGGCGAGCCAACCCCCCACCCCACCTGCAGCCTCGGGCATCTCCTGCCCCCATCTCCCAGGCTGGCACCTATGGAATTTGGGGACCCAGAAATGACCCCGAAGAGATCATCTAGTCCATCCCCCACCTGCCTCCTGGCCACCCTGAATCTGCAGTGGTGTCTTGGTGGCCAGGGAACGGTAGCCCTCCTCAGCTCTCAGAAAAACTGACAGGCAGGATTGGAGTTCCAGCGGGCACGTCTGATCAGAAAACCAGCTGAGAGCCCCCGTTGGGGAGGACAGAGCTCCGGGTAGGACTTAGGGTGTGTGTGGAGGGCTCTCTACCCCTAGAGTCGGGGCCCTGAGGCTCCGCAGTCAGGGAAAATGGCAAATCCTCTGCAACCCCCTTTCCAGGTGAATCAGAAATACGGCACACCAGAATCAGCCCGCCACGGGGCCATCTCTGAAGGTCCCCATCTCTGCAGCCTCCACCCCGCCCACTGTCCAGGGCAGGTTGGGGTTTTCTCTTCGCCTTGTTCATCCTTCCCCATCTCTGCCTCTCCCTCCCCTCTTCTTCCCCTTCTTTCTCCGTGGGCTCCCTCTGCTAGTCTCCCCTCCCTCTCCTCTCTCTCTCTCTCTTTCTCTCTCAGGCCCTCACTTGTGCTCTCTCTCTTTTTTCACTACTCTGTCTCTCCCTTTTCTCCCCTTCCCTCCCCTCCTCTCTTTCATCTCCCCCCCACCCCCCCTCCAGTCGAACACCGGGCTAGGAACGCGGCAGAAGCTGTGACAAGCCCAGGCGGCTCTCCCGACCCTCGATGCCCCCGGGCCAGTTTTCCAAGCTCCCGGCGCCCATCACAGCCTTGTGCGGAGAGGGCTCTCGGGATGGGCAGGGGCAGTGGGTTCAAGCTATGGGCACGGGTGGCCCAGATCAAAGGCTAGGAATGTCTGGCCCTGGCGTGGACTTCCTCCAGCCATGCCCCCATCTGGCAGAGGGCCTGCCACTCCCAGCCTTGCAGCACTGGGGGTCAGCTCATTTGCTGCCCCTTCTGCCACAGTTCTGGGAGTCACTGCCCTCCATCCCTCTTACTGCCCTCGCTTTCTTTGCCCCAGGCCCAGGGATGATGCTCCAGCACCCATCCCTCGCCTGGGGTGCCTCTGGGGGCCTTGAGTGGCCTGGGAGCAGGGCTGCGGGGCAGGTGCCCAGGTGACAGAGGTCAAGGCCCCCCAAATCTGGCTTCCGTCTCAGCACCACTTAAGGCAGACCTAATTCCTTGACTCTGGAGAGGGAGAAGAGAGAAAGAACCCACGGAGGCCTTGGAAGGACTTTTTTCCTGTGGCGAGGGGTGGGGTATTGGGATACATTTGGTGTCCACACAGGAAAGGGGGACGTTATCACCAAACCCCAGGTTGGAGCCCAGGGCCTCAGGCAGGAGAGTTGGGCAGGGAAGGGGGTCTCGATGGCAAGGAGGTCCTCCGAGGACCCCAGCTGCTCCCTATTGGGGCTACTGCGTTTCACGCGCCCCAAACTGTTCATCCACAAGATCCAAATGGGACCGCGGGTCGTCCTTCTGACCTGAGCCTGAGGCCGGGCCTGAACCCCTCTAGGAGGAGAAAGTGACCCGGCTCCCCGCGCAGGAAATGCAACTGGCTGCTGGTGTCAGTTGCAGGAAATGCAAAGGCAGCAGGAGGTCCCGATACCGATCTGATCCCTGACAAAAGACTCAAATGACACTCGGCTCTGTCCCCCGGCGCCGCCCGCAGCCAGACCTTCGAGCCTCCGCGGACCCTTCTGCGCGCCTCTCGGATACCCGGGAAGCGACCTCCCGCGGCTGGGTCGCGTGGCCGGCCCGCTCGCGGGCTCGGGAGGCTGGGAGGGTTTGCATTTTCCAACCCCCTCCGAGACCCTCGGATCCTGTCCTGCCCGAGCGAAGCTTCTGGAAACATCCCTGTGCTTTCTACTCTCGATTCCTCATAGGCCCAAGTCCCAAGAGGTCACGGTCTCCCGAGAGAAAAGGAGCCACCCATCAATACCCACGCCAACCTGGCACCACGTGAACGCCCCAGTCACAGCCCCGGCTCCCTAAACCTGGCTGGCGGGGGGCCGCGGCGGTCCCGCGCCAGCAGAGGGTCCAACGTGCCGTGTCCCCCCAAGTTCCCACTGTGTCCGGGGTGCGGGCTTTGCCCAAGTTTGCTGGGCGATGCCCTTCCCGGAGCCCGACTCGTGGGCCGGGCGGGAGGGGCGCGTGATTGACAGGCTGAACTACAGACTCATCTCTTACCTTAGGCCGCGGGCGCTGATTGGCTGCTCGCTGACATCCTCAAACCCGGCTGCTCCGCGCTGGGCTCGGGAGGGGGGCAGCTGCGGGTGGAGGTGCGCTTCTGACAAGCCCGAAAGTCATTTCCAATCTCAAGTGGACTTTGTTCCAACTATTGGGGGCGTCGCTCCCCCTCTTCATGGTCGCGGGCAAACTTCCTCCTCGGCGCCGCTTCTAATGGAGCCCCACCTGCTCGGGCTGCTCCTCGGCCTCCTGCTCTGTGGCACCAGGGTCCTCGCCGGCTACCCAATTTGGTGGTAAGACTCGCCTCTTATCTGCCCGCGGCCAGATTTCTCCGCGGAGCCCCAGGGAGGTGGGGGGCGCTAGCTGGGGGTGGGCTGCGGCAGGGCTGGGGCTCCTTTCTTCTTACCTCCCTCCAGCACCCCGACTCGCCCACCTCCCTGGATTTTCTGCTGGTGTCGCCTTCAGAATCCAACTCCTGGTTTCTCTGATAATCACCATTTTCCCTGCTACTCGCTGCAGAGGCTGGAGGACTTTCCCCGTCTCAGAATGTCTCTTATTCTTAGATCCTAACCCTCCACCCGTCCCAGTCTGGGGGCCCCGAAGACCCTCCATTTGCTTGCAGTTGGCTTTCTGGAAATCCAGCGATGTCCCTGGGGCCCAGCCACTCCTCTTCTCCATTTTGGGGTCTTCATGGGCAAAATCATCCTGTTCCTTCATTGCCACCCTCACCTCCTCCGGCGCCTCCCTCAGGAGATTTCCCCACAATAACCCCCCTGTGCCTTCAGATTTTAGACCCCAGTCGCTTCAGGGATCCCCCAGGGCAGGGGGGTGGGGGGTGGATTTCATCAGATTCTCCCTACTCTGCTCTAGATGAATCTGGAGCCTCAGAAGTGAATATGGTATTTGCTGATCCGAGATGCCATTGAATTCAGATTTAATTCATTTCTTGCTTGTCCATCCTGGCAGAAGCGGGGCTTCTTGAAAATGTAGTTGTTTGGGAGGGGGTGGGTTTGTTCTTTGACCAAAAACCCAATTCTCCGTGTCAAATTCGTTCCTTTTGGAAAAACCCGAGGACCGAGGAGAAAGGGAGAGAGGGAGAGGAGGATCCCGGTCCCCGAGAAATGTGGATACAAAAGACATTTTTAGTAAATGAGGCTGGAGACCAGGCGCGGTGTTTTGGCGGGGCCGGCTGGGGGCTGTGCGTGTGTGGGGGAACTGGCCGTGGAGTAAACAGCCCTTTGGGAGCCCCAGTTCCAGGGAGTCCCCTTGTTTTCCAAGCAGCCTCATCGACACCCAGCAGGTCCCAGAGGCCAGAGGGGAAAGACACACTGAAACCAGTTCTCTAAATTACACCCCGCCTCTCCTCAGTCTCCAGCCCCCTGCATTCCGGAAAACTTTAATTAAAGAATCTTCCCCTCCTGGATGTAGGAGAGGCTCGGCCAGGGGGTGGGGGGGTGTGGAAGGTGAGGAGGAAGAATTTGGGATCTGTGAGTTAGCAGAGGGACTGTGGCCCTGGAATGAAAGTCAGAGAGGAGTGCCACCTGCGTGTCCCCCTTTCCCTTAACCACCCTTTGCCCAGCTTGGTATAGGGGCAGCAGAGCAAGGAGATTTGGGGCCACACCCCGAGTCTGCCTGCAGCTGTTTGGGGGTGGCAGCATTTGTGTCTGGGTGTTTGGGGGGGTCAGGATGGGAATAAGAGCAGGGTATGGCCAAGGGTCTCCATTTAGAGGGTACTGAGAGTTGCTCCCAGGACAGACATCCAAGGGGAGGTCTTTCTTCTGCCCAGCCCTTCCTTCCCCGTGGCGATGGGCTGGCCTGAGGCCTCCTGTACATAAAGAAGTCCCCAGGGTGGCCGGGGCAGCCAGGGATGCCAGGTTGGGGACTTTGCCAGTTGCGAGGAAGGCTGCTGCAGAAACCAATCCTGCCCCCTGGCCCTTCCCGACCCTCTTGCCATCCCCTGCCCAAGGCCATGCTGTTCTCTTCTTTCACAGGGACCTTGGGGGTGGGCGGGGAGGGTGGGAAGAGAGGGTGTGGAGCCCCATAGGCTGCAGGAAGCAAGGGGGAAAGACCAGCTTCCCCTATCCTATGAACTGGACAAGAGCACTTCCGGGGTCAATGCTGGTGGTTGGGGGGTCTGCTGTGTAATGGTGTATTGGGGAGCATCCCGATAGGGACCACCCAATAGGAAGATGTTGGAAAAACCTGGAAAGCCAGGACATTGGCCCTAACATAATGCTGGACACATGGCTTGTTTGGGGTTGGCGGGGACAGGGATGCTGCTTTGTCTGAGCAGTGTGTGTGTGTGTGTGTGTGTGTGTGTGTGTGTGTGTAGGTCTCTGACCCTAAGGAGTGTCATCTGTACACTAGTGTGCCTCTGTGTGAAGGAGTGTCTGTACCTGCAACTGGATGACTGTGGACGTGAACTTGTGTGAGACGTGCCTGAGGGTCCCATGGCCCGTGACAGGGTGTACTGTGTGTCTGCACACGAGTGTCAGCAAGTGGTTGATTCTATGTGAGCGTGTGTGTATGAGACAGAGAAAGTCTACAAGTATCTATGCCCATGTAAAGGTCAGCACCTGTGTCTGCTTATGACACCACATGACTATGTTCATGACCAGGCATGTGAGCGGGGTGTGTGTGTGTGCGTGCGTCTGCACGTGCGCACGTCTGCATGCGTGCACGTGTCTTCATGATTGTATGAGGGGAGAGCTCCACAGATGTCTCTGTGCATGGATATCAGTGCTCATGGCCATGAGCTGATTGTGAGTACGAGTGTGGCGAGGGCTATGTCTGAGTTTGCCTGTGACCCTGTCCTCAAGTGCTAGTGACCATGGCTGGGCCCATGGCTATGGATAGGTTCGCAGACATATGACCTGTAAGTGTGAACGACATCCCAAACTTGGGTGCTTGGTGGGCATCCATGGTCCTGGAGGGACAGTCCAGCGGACACAGACAAGGGTCTAATGAGGAAGCTGCAAGGGCCACAGTGACCTGGGATCCAGGGCTGGGCAGCATGGAGAAGGGGGACGGCGCAGAGCCTTCTTTGGCACAAGCTCATCCTGTCTGTCTGAGGACTGTGGTCACCAGCCCTCCCCTCTTACACCGTTTGTCTTTGGGCTTGGAGCTAGGGTGGTGGGTGTCATGTTCTCAGGGCCGGGGCAGGGGGCCAGGGCTGGGACAGTGACAGTAGAGTAGAGGGGCCTCAGATTCCTATTCCTGCTCTGCCCCCAGGGCAGCCAGATACCAGTTCTTTAGCGCATCACGGCCTGCGCTCTTTGGCCCTCCCAGCTCACACATTCCCTAGGAGAGACTTTAGGGGGAAATAGTTCAGCTGGGATTTCTGCCCCCATCACCCCTCAAGGAAGGCACCCCCATCCCAAGCGTTCTGTGCTGCTCAGGCCCCAGCCCTGAGAGAAGGTAGACCAGAAGCCTGAGCTACAAGGGGCCTCAGACAGAGGCTCATGGAAGGAAGAGACACGTTCCAGGGCCTCGCAGCCAGGTAGTGGCGGAGCTGGGACAGGAAGCAGTGGCAGCAGCACTGATTTCTATAATTCTTCTTGTCAGTCCCAGTTAGCGCCTGGTAGAGGAACTTGTCTTTCTTTTCCTTCCTGGGGGAAAAATGAACGATCTTATTAGGGCCCAGCCTAGTGCCTGCTGCATTCCGGAGGCAGAGGCCCTGATGGAAGGGGCCTGTGCTGGGGGTCGGGAGCCCCCCTCTGTGGGACACATCCCTCTGGGTCTCTGTTTCCTTACTCAGGAATCACCAGCCTGCCCCTGCTTCACAGCTTGGGTGAAAGTGCTCCGCAGAAGTCAAGGGCAGTGAGCTGGGCAATAACAGCTGAGTTCTCTCTCCGCCATCCTGGGAGCCATTTCCCCACTCGAGCACTTGCCCTAAGCCCTGCCTCAGTTTCCCCATCTGTCCGATGTCCCGCTGCCTCCCCCACCCACTCCCACCTCCACCCGCCTTTCAGAGGCTTGTGAACATGTTCAGTCAAACCCCGTGGGGGTCAGTGGGCTGGGCCCAGGGAGGCACCTGGAGACTGCGGGGGAGGAAGGCCCCAGGCCAGGTGTTAACACTTGTAACAGGCAGGAATTACAGCTGGCTGGGGCTGGGGCTGGCGAGGAGCTGAGGTGGCTGGAGGCTGTTGATCCCACAGACAGACAGACAGACAGATGGGCAGATACCAGATCGGATGGCCAGGCTTTAACCGGGTGGTCTCTCCCTTCCAGGGCAGGCCTTACCCTGGGGGGATGTGGTGGGGAAATTAATCCAGGTCTCTTGGAAGTGAGTTAACAGCCCTCCTGCCCACCCCACCCCCATTGTGGGCGGGGCTTGCTGTCCAAAGGGAGCAAAATTGGTTACTGATCTGTTTGTCTTCTGATGGGACCACATTTTCCCTAAAAAACAAAAACAAAAACAAACCAAACAAACAACGACAAAACGCAGGTCAAATGTTACTCTAATACCAGGAGCCTGGAGCTGAGTTATGTTCTTGGAAGAACCTGCTTTAATATGTGGGGGGGGAAGGTATGGGGGGGTGGGAAGGGGTAGCAGTCGGGGAAAATTCTCCCAGAATCTCAGAGCATTTTATCAACAGCTCTGTGACCATGAGGTGAGGGATGGGTAGTATCTGGGCTCTGAGCATCTCCCTCACCCCAGGTATCCTGAGGGCCCCTGGTCTGGGGAGGGCCTGGGACAGCTGCCTGGTGGAAAGAACTTTTGCAGGGAGGTCAAAAGAGGCAGGAGCTGGACTGCAGTGCCAAGTCCTTTAGTGGGCACGCTCCCCTCCCTTCCTGCAGCTTTCCCAGTGGCAAACCCGGCCAGGCCCTGCCAGCACCCACACCCTGTGGCATCTGGGTGCTTGCTCAATCACTGGTGCAGGTGGAGAAACTGAGGCAGACAGAGAGGGCCCTAGGTAGAAATCCCCAAAGAATAGACGCAGCCAAGCAGGTATCTCCCATCCTTCCCACTACAGAACCTAATGCTAACAAACCTGAACGGTACTCAGGCAGATGTAGGATGGAGAAGGTGTTATGGCCCAAGTGGGCGAAGGGAGCTATGAGCTTGGGGTTTTCCCTAGACTTTGAATAGCTCTCTCCTGGGT